TCTACTGATTTTTCATATGGTTGAGAATGGGGCGAAAAAATGATCCCGATTGGTAGTACAAGGATTAGAGATTTTCACAAATATTCTATGTGATAACCTACATTAAGTTTAGGTCATAAGTTTATAGAATAGTTTAAACTTTGTAAAACTAAAATACATATTTTCTCTATCACTTACATTACACTAAGCATTTTGTTATCTTTCTTCACTCTGAATGTCAATATTACATGTTAATTATGAAAATCATCGGAGTTATCTTCACTCTATTCGCTCATTTTGATTAAGTAAGATCAAAACATTGAGCTCTGTATACATTGTGATATTATGCTGTATCGTAATTGCTTTATGTTGTTTAATATACTGACGAAAACTCAATATTTTGATGATCGAAAAAAACATCAATTCTTCGATTATTTTATAGATATTTCCACATGATATTTGCTCTTAAAAAAGATTTTTTGTGTGAATATCTACTAATAATCAATCAACTTATATACTAACACTACCAAACTAACATTGCTTTCTTTCTTTCTTATCCAATATAGTATCACATTATCTTAGTTTGTTTTCTTGTGTAATTGTGAAGTATTATTAGATGATGGTAGACAATGGAATCCTTGTATGAACGATAGAAACTGCAGTTTCAGTTTTCTAATTACAATAATAAATAGAGAATTTCATTATGTTGAACATTTTTCTAAGATGTCCAAATTCATGTTTTCTTTTTTCTTATTTTTTTATAATTTCTAGATTGTAATTGGCTTTTTGCATTAGAAATAGATATTTTTGTAGTTGTTTATTACAAAAAATGTTTCGAACAAAGAAATCAACAGCAGCAACCACTGACCATAAAGTACAACGACTGATGGTTTCTGGCCGAACAGACGCTGTAGCTTCATCTGCTCAACAACGTATCTACATGCATGAAAATCTTTATTTCAGTGCTTCCGATTTGTCTATTTATAATAGGCTGATCCCATTGCAGATCACAGAGGGTTCAGTGTCAATAGAACATGTTCGTTTATCCTTAGTCTCAATGATTAAGCAGCATACAGTTCTTCGCACTGCCATTCGTTTCAATCCAATACGCAATCAAATCGAGCAAAATATTCAACCACTCACTGATGATATCTATTCGTTTCAACATTCTCAAGGTGTTTCACCATTAGAAAAGCTTGATCGTCTACTGACGAACGAATCAATTGGAAAATATTTCGATGTCGAAAACGGAAAAGTTTTACGATGTCATGTAGTGCAACGATCTCCTGAGACTCATGATGATTCACTACACGAAGGTGATCTTATAATTTTCGTGATTCACCATATCGCAATTGATCTCAGCTCAGTCAAACCATTTCTAAAAGCCTTTGAACGAGCATGCTGGGCAAATGAATATCAACAATCAGTGTTAACAATTCCACAATACATTGACTTTGCATTGTTTGAACAGGCACTGCTAGCCGACACAAACGCACAGTCCAAGATGAACAAGGCTCGTCGATTTTGGGCTAATCTTATGCATGGATACAACTGGGATAAAATACAATATTTAGTACCCAATGAAGGTCAAATTGATCGACTTCATTCAGGCCGTGGTTATACTACTGCATTTACTATCAATCAAGATGTTGTCGATTCAATGATGTTATTTGCTTCAACCAACAACGTGACAATGTTCTCATTGTCTCTTGCCTGTTACTATACATTTCTCTTTAAACTAACCAATCATGATGATGACTTTTGTGTAGTTAGCAGCGCAGCTAATCGTCCTGAGAAAGAGATACAAGATATGATTGGTATATTTGTCAATCTTCTACTATACCGCATCAAAATTGAACCAAATATTGCATTTAAACATCTGGTGCAACAGGTGCAACAGCTGAGCAGTGAAGTTCTCGAGCATGCTTCTTTACCTTATCAACAGATTATTGATTCCCAAGACAAACGAGAAAATAATGTATTACCTTCAGCGTTCTTTCAGTATGAATCCTTGATATCTTCAATGATATCGAAAAATTCAATCGAAATATCTTTGAGCGAAGGTTCGTTTGCAAGTTCCTACAGTGACCGAGATCTAGATCACCAAAATGGTACATCACTATTCGATATGTCTCTTACAATTATCCATGACCATCATACACCAAGTACAGAATGCTTTCTGAATTGCTCTGCTGATATATTTAAACATCAAGATGAGATCGATCTGCTATCAAAGCGTTTCCAACATATCCTTACGGAACTCTTTTGCTCTTCGATTACTGGCGAGCCAACCTATAATCAATGTAGTATATCGATCAGTAACTTATCACTTAATTTACCCGAAGAACTCGAAGAAATACAAAAAGTAATCTTTCA